TAGACGAAATCTCGCTTATTCTGTTGTTTTCATATTCGAAGTGCCAGGCTGGCATCAGTAACGTAGACACGTATGTTTGTCGTGGGCTGCAGATAATTAAAATTCTATCGTCGTAAAACATCAGAACTTTTATCATATAAGCCAAAATTTGTGCAGTCCAATAGTTTTTATTGCTTTTAGTGAAATGAGAGAAATGTTGATTTAAAGTTGCAGACAGCTGTTAGTTTCAGTTCAGATGACTCTTGCAGAGGTCAAGTCGTCGCATAATTGTTGCTGAAGTTGTAGTTGAGCCCACTGATAACGATTTAGATTTTCTATCCGATCTGCTTTTTCATCCAACAAATCTTCTTGTGCATATAACTGTTTAATTAGGATGTTTGAATCCAATGATTGTCGCAATATTAAACGCAGAGGTGAGATGGAGATAGTCTACCCCAGTGAACGGGATCATTCATAATCCCTAAGGGTTTGCTTTATGGTAACTTTCGTCCCTTTTATGTGCCGCAACCTTTATTCATTGCTCCGTGTACAGTTAACATCGGTTATTTCTTAAATGTATAGCTCAGAAATGTGGACTTGCAGAATTGCGTCAGATGAACATTTCACGAACGTCGCGTTTGAGTTATCATATGAAAACGAACGGCTTCAAAAGGAATTAGCAGAGGCGACGACATCTCTCGAACAACTACGGGAGAGAATAAATGAGGTATGCATGCGCCTTCAATGCCATTTTCGAGGGGTTCTTTGGAAACTTTGTAGCCGGTAGAAAGTTTCCACGGTGTTCTTCAACATTGATTAGATACTGATCGTGAAGAATACTGGAGTACTGTTGCTAGACTAGTAGCCGAATGGATGCGTATTTTTCGAACTTTGCCGTATTGTAGAATTCCACAGTTGCAGGATTGTAGTTATGTGTGAAAAGTTTCTTATTGTTGAATTTTTGTACTTTGTTAACAGAATAACCGCATTAGGTCAAGACTAGTCTTAGATCATCTGCTGAACTCATTGTCTTCTTCGACGTAGTGTATCGGTTTCTAAACTTCACGTTCCAAAGCAAACCAGGAAAGTTGTTGTTCTACAAGAAAAAACAAAGAAAAACTGTACACTATGGGCAGCTATTGACCAATATGACTACCGTCAGCAGTCTATAAGTTATTCTCACGAGTCATCCTTATCGGGATTGACAAAGCACTGGTTGAAGGGCTCATGCGCAGAGAAGCGGATTTCGAAAAATATTCAGTGGTATGGATAACGTCCATAGGAGAATTTTGAAAAGATAAGGAAATTTTGTGTTGTCAAAATTATTTGTAGTTTATATCGAGAATTCCATGCAAAAAGGAGTGAGTAACTGCAAAAAGTGGTATTGAGTGGACGATACCTGTATCACATTCTTGGTGATAATTATAATACCAAGGACTATCCAACGAATCTGGTCGATTTTAACCGCTCGTCGGAAAAAAAAAGGCCTTCAGTTGATTCGGAAAGGACATTCTTTGAGAGAACCGTTCTTTAGTCAGAGTTTTTTTTTTGTATGCGAAATGTCAAAATTCATGTGAGCAGGATGTGCGGAGTGGGTAAGAGTCATCTATTTCTGATTCTCAAGCGTATAGCAGGGAGACCAATGTGAGACTGTTTGCTCGTTCTGTTAGACTTCTTTAGAAGATCGTAGAAGCTATGATTATCTCCGAACTCTTACAGTAAGCGGAACCCATTGGGCCGGTCTTGAACGCAAGAGAGATAAATGGGCGCTGGTGGCACCCTTAGTTCACTAATGATTAGAGGATGGATGACACAAATATTTCCCGGTAAAAAACATAAAAATAGAGCAACAGAAAAGGACCATCGGTGCGAGGCTATCCTCGTGTATGATAACAAACAACTAACAGAAATAACAGGGAGCTCTAATCGTTTGTGATATTTCAATATACATTCCTCTGAACAAGATTGAGAGACAACAAAATCTCGAGTTCTATTAAGTTTTGTGTTCTTTCTTTTCCTTGCAAGGTTATTTAAAATTATTTTTCCTTTTGCTTTTACTGAAATAAGCACTTTGCTTGTTGTGTAACAATGGAGCGTTTTATTGTGAAGCACCGAAGAGGCCATAGATTCCGTATTTATTCCAACAGTGTGAAGTTTTGTACGGACATTTGGTGTTCTACAAATAAGTCGTTTAGAGCTTCATCCATTCATTCAGTGCTAAATTTTACATTTGAAGAGCGATGGAGAAATGGCGAGAGTGGTTCGAGAAGGAAAAGCACAAGCACTGAAAGCGCGTGTTGTTGCGCAGGCGCGAATCAAGGAACTGGAGGACCGAATGGCCAAGATGAGCGAGCAGCACACTGAGCAGGTGCTGAATTTCATAACGCTATTCAAAAATCTCCCTTTGGAGCAATTGTCGTTTTATTGATAGATCGTTTGAGTTATGGGTCTTGTTTCATTAAATTTATTTATTTATTTACTTGTTTTGTAAAATCTGTGAATGAATGGTTCAGGTAGAACGACTTAATACTGAAATCGAGAGCTTGAGGAGTACTCGAGAATGGGAGGTCGAGCAAAATGCTCAGCTACGGGATCAACTTAACGAGATTAAGTTAGCAGTTTATAAAGTGTTCTTTTAGGCGAACAAGAGTGGACCTAAATTCCTTCAATTTAACGAATAGCAGTAATGCCAATATAATTGTCTAGCCATACTGCGAAAGTTAATAATTGAAGTTTTTTACACAGACTTCTAATTTGAATAACATTCGTTAATATTCTGCAGACGATGTATGAGAAATAGTCTCGGAACTAGTGCATGTGAGAGCCAGCGCTTTAATGAACTTATATTTGTGATATTTCAAAATCAGGGAATAGTTTATTTGTAAAGTCACACTAGTGCAATGAGAAGAACCATGTGAAATTCACATATCATGAAGCTCAACAACGCATCATCAGCAGCTTTATTCATGTTGAACGTGTTCTTCCTGTTAATCACCTAGTATTAGAGAATGCGGTAGTAATGGCTAAGCCCACTTCCTTACCTAACATTTCTATGACTCAGAGGTTTGTGATTGAAAGAGTCATATGTTTCCTTTATGACACATTTGTTCATTTAGGACGAAAAATCACAAGCTAACAGAAGAGTTGGATGCTAGTGAGAAGGCAAATCGAGATTGGGAAATCAAAGTAGGCTTTTCCGACTTTGGAACTCGTGGATTAGATCTCTCGCTGCTTTTACGTTCTTATTTCTTTACTTTGCTGTCGATTTTTTTTATTGCTTGCATGTTGCGCTGTCATGGAAGTTAGTTGTGCTGAGGTCTTTATAATCTTTTGTTAGTTCCACTGCACAAGCAATATTTGTATGAACCATATCTCATTAAATAGACTCTCTTGTTAAGTACTAACTGATTTGAAGGATTGTTTGCAGATGATTGAAACGAATGATCTTACCTGAAATTCCTTGATCATCGTCCGTTAAAAGAAAATGATCTCAGGTTTCTCACGGGGAAGAATTTTTGGATCAACTGATTGAAGATCTAATTGAAGCCGAAGGTGTAATCGACTATATGCAACAACAAAAGCACAGTATACTGGACGATGTGGACAAACTCAAAGGTAAATTGATTCTCCAAGCTCTGAAATAGCGGATGTTTGTTCAAGACCACAGAAATAGATGCCAAAAGTAGCTCTTTGAAGATGCCATCATTGCCCAAGACCAGTTGATTGAAATCCTTGAGGCCGACATCATCATCTACGAAGAGCACATTGGCATCCTTCGCGAGTCACTTGGAGCCTCTAAGGTATTTTTTTTATCGCGTGATAGCAGACTATAGAGGCTATAAGGTATACAGTGCTTAAATCGCTAAGAGAATTGGTGGCTTGAACAAAAGTAACCATCTCTAATAGGATGCTTTACTCCATCCGTTTCAATCATCTGGTTCCTCCATTTCTCTGCCTTCAGTTCACATTTCGTATTGAGCATTCATAGATTTGAAGACTGCTGCTCTGTGGGCCATTTCGCCACACGGAGAAGTTCAGAAAAAAAAGTACGGTTTAAATATGTGTTTTTCATATTGATCATCGATCTCTTCTACGATCAAAGGCGTTTGAGACGAAATTGAAAGCTCTGGAGAAGGAAAAGGAACAAATCAACAGACGCTGTAAAGGTAACTCTTTCCAACCTTCACCAGCTTCTTTGAAGTTTCCCTATTTGAATCGTAAACGTTGATGTGTAGCCAAGATAAGTGGTTTAGTTCATCGTATATCCTTCCTTTCTGTTCTGGATGAAAATAGAAGAGAAACATACTTGTAGGACATTTATTAAGACATTTGTAAGTTTTATGTCATCAAATGAACAGAAGTCTCCTCTTAGTGCAAATCTACGTCCTTACATGTGGAAACAATAAATTACAATAGTGATATAGCAATAGCAGATATATGTACAAACTGTATACAAGGCAAAATAATTTATATAAATAAAAATCGCTTCGCAAATTTTAAATCTCTAAAGTTTCTAGTTTCTAAATTTCTAAAACTGTTAAAAGGCTAGCTGTTGAAAGCGTTAAAACTGTCAAACCAAAAAAAAAAAAACAAATCATAGACTAGAAAAACCAGCTCTTAACTCTTATGTTCCGTCCACATTAGAAGTATTATATAAGTATCGGTGATTCCGAAAAATTTCCCAGGCAATCAAATTTTTTTTCTAGCGATTGTAGACATATTCCGGGTATCCGGATATGCGTTGAAGTTACTCTTAAACCTTTAGGATATCTTTCTTTTTCTTATTCATTCATTGTTTTCATCATGCTATAAAAGTAATGGATATTGGAATTACCTTTAAGAATTTAACCCGTGATTGAAAAGTCTGTTATTTGCTGTTAAAGCGAGAACGAATCATCATGTTAATCACAAAGTAGTACCGTGGAACTACAAGTTACGCACCACTGGCTTTGGAGCGGAGTATGACTGATAGAACAAGTTGTAAAAGATTTTTATGTGTGAACATCGAGATATCAATCAGGTCAAACAAGCTCGGTTTGTGAGTTGTTAGGGTGTTCTGAGAGTTCATGAGAGGAAGCTATGCTGGCCGAATAAGCCATGTTTCGGTATGAGGTCGCCATAATAGCCGGCACTCCTTTGTCCATAGTATGATAGTTGCGGAAAGAGTAGCCAAGTGAATTCAGTGAAATTTCTGGTGTTGCCTTTATTACCTTAACAACAGCATTGTTTCAGGATGATTGAAAAACGTGAGACGAAGTTGAATTAGCGATGATTCACATTAAGGAGAAAATTAGTAGATTAGTTATTACAGCCCATTAAAAAATAATGACCCATTTCTCTTGTTACCCTTCAAATACTGAGAAAAACCTGTCGATTTGCTAGAGTCGTTCGGTTCGTTAATTTCATTCGGTGGAAAACTTTGAAGAACTGCTTTGGACGTGAAACAGTTCTTTGATAAGGTAATGAATGGGGTGTACATTTTACTAAATCGTCGAATGATTAAAAAAGAACGTTTGAATGGAATTTTTTCCGTTGGGTTTTTCTGCTGATACCAGTTATAATCTTATTCTTTAGCCTACTATAAGGGAAAACCTTGTTTTCTTAGAATCCCATAGGTATTCTGCTATAAAACGCAGGCCATATGGCCTAGCTGGTACTCATAAACAAGGCAGAATGTTCGCTTTTTTTGTCAAAATCGTTATTCCCGAGTTTCGAATAAGGAACAGATGAAATTTGGGGAGTTGCATAAAAGCTGGTATATCATATATTGCTAAAGGAATGAAGAAAAGGTAGGTAGAATATCAACCTACATCACAGTCGCATTTGGAGCAGTGCTGCTGCCGTAGCCTGAGACAACAGTAAATGCCGCATGGAAAGCAGAAAATACCATAGAGAAGACCAACAAAGGTGTTTCGCCACGTGACAGTTCGTGAATGGCAATTTGGGCAAGAAGAGAAGTCAGGTGAAGCAGTCATAGTGGATGAAGTGCATAGAAGCCTGAAGCTGGAACTCTTCTAACAAATGAGTCCTCAAAAGCGTTCCGGTATTGTGTAAACCCGGTTCAGAACAACAACGAGTGCAATCGATGGAGTGAATCAATGCAAAAATAGACGGCACAAAACGAAATGGGCACGAGGGGCTGCTGATACAATGACGCAGAGATGATGATTACATCCGGTTCTCGTTGCTAAAGTTGTAAACATACAATATTACTCACTTTAATAACAGTGTAAAGACTATACGAGCTGTAAAAACACAAGGTTATTGGGAGCTGAGCAATAGTTTACATGCCAATTTGTATTCGAGCTGCCCTTTTTCACTAGTTATGGTAGTGTGACAACGTGTTATCAATGCTCGTAATCACACGATTTGGCTTTGTTTTGATTTTGGGTGGAAAACAAGATGTCCGGTTGCCGACATTCAAATCAAATAAGCAACTAGTTTCACAAATTTTGTTGAGAGGGATATGTATGAAATCGTAATCAATTTCCTCAGTAGGTCACTGAAGTCTGAAGGAATTACGCATAATTTTCAACAAGCAGTTATCAACTGAAAATGTAAAGGTAAAGGAAACCTCACTCTTCAAATATAGTATGTGAAAAAGGACGAAGAATTACTAAAGTGCTTAGTGAAACGCTGCTCGTAATTGGAAAGGGCAGATACAATTTATGAAAGTAGTTATGGAATGAGGAAAAATATGCGGTTGGTTAGCGACCAGTTCTAAGGCGAGAATTCAACCGTGAAGTGAAATTCGAATCTAGTTTGACGAAGTGTTGTTTGATAATTCCTAGAAACTACTTTTTTTTAAACTCGGCATTGATCCATGGTTCATCATTTTTCATGAGCAAACACAAGGTTGTTATTACAGCAGTTATTAATTCATAACAGATGACGTTTCGGTGGTTTCGCCTTCGTCAGAGCCAGGAAAGATCAAACTCACATGCAATATACTCAGCTAAAAACTTTCATAACCTCAAAAGATAAAGTATAGTGCATAAATTTTTATTTGAATAATAAATCGCTTCTTCTAATCACCGTTTTTGTTCTTCGCTAGATGGGTGTATCAAAAGGCACTCCTCCTTGCGATCCATTTTACGATTTTTTTGAATTTATCCAAAATGTTTCACGAGTTTTACGTGCTGATGTTTTGGATTCCTTTGTGAGAATAGTGACTTTTACTTCGAAATTTTCTCCGTTATGTTCCTGTGTTCTGTGTTAACCTTATGTTTCCCGACTAAGTGTTCTTTTATACGGGCGCACACTTGTCTACCTGTTTCGTCCATATATTGGTCATCGCGCACTTTACAAGAGATTATGTACGCTATACCTGAACTCATACAATCGCTGTCTCTTATGCAATTCTGCGTTATACCTATATGGTTATGTAGGCTGTTTCGAACTAGCTGGCGTCGGAGAGTGTTCCGCGACATTTTGACCATTGATACAGAATTCTCTAGCCCGGCTCTTTTATTGCAAGTTTTATGGCTGCATATATTTCGTTGGAGTTTCAGTGCAAAATGGCCGGGACCTTAGAAGAGCTATGGTTTCGTAACCATGGCCATTTCCGCTCCAGTTCTTCTCTTTCTTCTTGTGGACACAGTGGTGGCTGTTAGAACCATCTTTCTTACAAGCGCCATTTTTGTGTATGAGGAATCAGAGGAAAGATAATGAACCAGCATGTTTTTGCTATTTGGCTTTCGGTACCATTTGGTAAAGCTGTTTTCGGATAGGTTAATTTGAACGTTCAGAAGTGGAGCGAAATTTTCTTCCGGTTTTCCTCGGGTAAACTTAATTTACTTTCGCTATTCGTTCAATAAATCAAAGTATTTGTCTGTGGAGCAGATGACAATGCAATCATATATCTACAATAGCGTGGTGGTTGAAGTTCGATTACTGCTGCTTCCACCCTAGACAGAAATGCGATGGGAAGACTTGGTGGCGATCGCTGTCTCGTTTTCAGCCCTCTAACAGTTTAGACATTCCTATAGGAGGGCCATGAGCTGCTGAATTGATATGCCATTGAATTGACATCTTTACGACTCCTTCGTGCTACATAATGAGTTCGGGGTGGCTTGCTTGCAGAATCACTTGACACGTTTATATAAAGGGCAGTAATGGTCTCCACGTTAGGACGTAAACGATACAGGTACATTTGGGTATTCGTGAGAAGGACTTTTTGTCCTTCAGCAATTGGATGCGAATTAGGTTTATAAGCTAAGCTATTCTATCCGTGGGCTCGTCTACACAACTGATAATGTATCCAACCTTGAAGGTTCAGGTGTTGGTAAAACTAGATCATCAATGGATGTTAAACTTAAAAAACTAACTTATTAATTTTGATAAGTATTAAGTGGGACATGTTCGTAATTCGGCTTTAAGTTGCGTAATAAATGATGGTTTTAAACTTGGTGCGCTTCCCCCTTTGACTCATTCCATGTTGAGTTTTCGGTATTGATTTTTGAATTCCTTTTCAGATGATAAGCGATAAATAAAGCATTTTCAAGATGTTTTTCCGTTATCTCAACATCAAACTGGCATGGTATTACTACAAACCTTCCTTCCTTATCACTATCTGATAGTGTAATGATTGTTGACTAAACTAGTTCTCGAACCTGTTGCACACCACTTTTTTGCGTTGATGTAAGGTTGTAACTAGACTTTCTTTTGCGGTAATAGTTAACGATTTTGAGAGTTTCGCCTCAACATATTGGAAAATTGATATCTGCTTCGGCATGGAGTCTTGCTTTCTAAAGGACGCTCTGGGGAAGAAAGGTGGTGGTAATGCCTCTACTTCTTGTTTTTCGTTCTTATGTAACGTATCAAGTCTATTTTTATAACGGAGTTGATTTTTAAGGTGGTGCAGACTGTATGCGATCCTACGGTTTTTTAGGAGTGGGTATCGCTGATGAGAAAGTTGGACCCAATTTTCATAGTGAGCACACGTCATCAGGGAGAGTCAAGCCTCTTCTATCGTTATCAGCGCTAGTTTGACTCTTGCTACTTTCGCAAACACTGTTTCTTCGTTTTATTGAGGTTACTTTGGTGAGCAGTTAAGTGGTAAAAACATACTCTCCTCTCACCTCTGGCACACAAAAAGAGCACTTGTTAGAAACATGTGTCGAACAGTCACAAGGTGTGCACAGGAAGAGAGCAGAAGGAAAAAATCCTGAAATTGGTACGGCAAATGGCCATTTCCCATAGCGATAGATGTAGAAGAAAATCCGCGACCCCAAGCGGGAGCTTTAGCGGGAATGAGCTCCCGATCATCCTGCCTTTCATTTCCAACGAAATAAATGCGGCTATAAAACGTTGTTTAGGCGGCACGGGTGCCAGTCTAGAGAATTTGGTAGCAAGGGCTGAAGTACCACCGAGTAGTGGTAAACCTGGTGGAACTAAATGCGGACAAAAGCTATGGTATATTCTGAGGATCGATTTTCTATTAGTCTCGGCATTGGAATATGAATGGTCGTTTTCTTGTTCAGCAATCGCGAGGTTGTTAAACAGCATACATTTACTTCCGTAGAGAAACGCAATACAACACAGCAGTAGCCGACGTTTCGGCATTATTGCTTTCTTCAGAGCCGCTTTTTACGTAACTTCCAATGAGGAGGATTCGAACAGTTGATTATAGTCGCGTATAGTTGATGACTCCTCCTTCTTCTTCATTGGAAGTCACGTAAAAGGCGGCTTTGAAGAAGGCAATAATGCCGAAACGGCAGCTACTGTTGTATTTTATTGTGTTTTTATGTGGAAGTAAATGTATGCTGTTTAAAAGCCTCGCGATTACTGAACAAGAAAACGACGCCATGATATGTTTTCTTCGAGACAACGACGATTTGCTCCTTGACGTTGCTGCGCGTAGGCAGATTTGATACCTCTATAGTAGTGAATTATTTGAGCAATAAACAACTGGGTAAACACTGGCCAACGTACGCTTTTATTCACTTGGCGTTCGCATTGTTGTTCTGTTTGTACAGTTGGCATCAATTCTATACTTCGTATGGCTGGCTGGTAAACGTTTTGGTTCATGTGCTTACGTAACTGCTCTACGAATATAGCATATCCGTTGAGGGTGTGAACTGTGAATTTAGATTCCGCAGTTGCGCATGGTTCTTGAATTAAGTCATTACTGTGCTTAGCAAATACTCAATTATCCAGCCTTTATCTGATTTTGTTATATTAAACTTCACAAATAGTGTAGTCCAGTATGAAAAATGCTGAGCTTGGTTTCTTTCTGACTGAGCAATTTTCGCTGGCGTATTGAAATATCAAATTCAGAGAAATCTCAGCTAATACATTAACTGATACAGTTGCCAGTGCACTAAAGAGTTGTTTACCACAATTCCGGTGTTGTGGCAGATACGCAACACCATATATCTATCTTTATCTGAGTTTGCCTAGCCACACACATGAGTACGCTCAATTTTCCATAGCTTTTCATGCCACTGAGTGCTAAGTGCCTAATTTTTGACCGAGCGCACTGTGCATTGAAAGGGCCGTTTGAAAGAAGAGTTTTCCATAGAGAATAACTTTTCAGGGGCCACACCTTGCTCAGCATCTATGTTGCTATGATGCGGTTTGAATACGAAAATTAAAGCATATGAACTCCTTGTGAAGAAATAAACACTCGGGAAGGAAGTGCGCTGTAATTAATGCGTAAGTTACTCCTACCGCCCACATGTGTATTGGTATTAATGCGCTCTTAGTCGAATTATTTCATAAAAAGATCAAACGCTTTGGCTTATTTGGATGGTCTCCATGGTTGATAGCTTGCTATAAATTTACTTGCGTTGTGGTGAAGATTACTTTTCGGCTTTACCAATTATAGTATCGAGATATATCTTCAATTCAGCATAAATTAAATTATTGGGTAATGATGTTCAATTTAAACTTCCTTGGATTTGAGATAGTGTGGGGAGCAAACGTGCTATTACGCTTTTCGGGGACTAACGCGTTCACCACCGCACCATGCCTT